ATCTTCCCACACATTTTTAAACTGCTGTATCATTCACAAAATTGAGTATCTTTCTAGATTCAGGAAAAACTGGAGGTGTAGACAAACTGACATGGATCCTTGGTCTGTGTGGTCATTTCAGTGCAATATCTGTTTATTACATAGACTTTTTTTGTACACTCCCTTGAAACTATTTGTCTGCTTGCAGCCAGCTAAGGCCTTCCATGATGCAACACTTACTGAGGAGATTAGTGTTTGATGTTCCTCTACTAAATGAGCATGCAAAGATGCCTCTTAAGGTAAGTGAAGTTGTATAGTAAAAGTGTATTTGAATTGTGATAAAGATATATTTGAGTCATCTTTTACAGTGTCATGTTTTCAATATAAGACCTGGCTTCCCTCCTACATAGGTGCCTACTAGTATGATATCCCTCTAACAAAAAATAAGACAATACATTATTATATATTCCAACCAGTAATTCATATTTCTGTTTTACTTTACTTCCATCCAAATTAAAACATAAAGTCCATGCCTAATCTCTCTGGCTCGCTGTTAAAAATCCTGCCATTTCTTCAATCCCTTGTAGAAGGAAGCAAGATGAAAAAATGGACAGATGATAGCTGATTTCATAGCATAACTAGAATAATATTATAGGAACCTTGGCTGGGCTGAGGCTTCATGTGTCAGTCTTTCTTCTCTAAAGAAATTGACCTGTTTTCTATGTGTTTCTCTGAAAAGTTAGTGGAAACCCCTTTTATTTCTACCTTACAGCTTGTCTTCAAGTGTAAGTATTTCACCATCTGTTCTTGGTATTGTTTGCAGATCTTCTCCACAAAGGGATCTTTCTTTCCTTACTTAGGCAACAACCTCATTAGGGAATCATTGGAATTTAGCCTTAGAGTTCCAGGAGTGGAGTGATTCATGGTCATCTCACTGCTTTTTCAGTGAACAATGAAAAATCTTTTCTGCTGCTTTCTTGTACAGGTTTTTTTTATACTTACTCTGCAGTGCTTTTCTGATGCTTTCCTGTACAGTTTTGAACAAGGCATATGTGCTATTCTCCTTCTCTGATTTGGCCTTTTCTTTCTCATTTCTTAAGAAGCAGGCCATGCTTATTTGCATCCTTCTACTGTTGCACTACTTTGCTGACTAGACCACACCTCAGAATTCTGCAGATTCCTCCTAGCTGGACTCTTTGACCTCATCAGAGGAAGGGATGCCATTCTGTCCCAAGGTCAGGACCTCATTACAGGCATGAGTCAATACTTAGAATCTCTCTCAAAGCTTTTAGAAATGTAAGACTGTGTCCCATCAGGGGCAAACCACTTAGATGGGGAGCGTGGTTTAGTTCTTAGTTGGGATTAGATTGTTTAGTGCCTGGAGGAACATCTTATAAATATTGTTGTACTAGAGCTGTATGTCTCTACCTAGGCCCTGCCCACCTGAAAGTTGGAGCCATTCTCAATGGTTCTCTGTCTTGACCTACTGGAACAAATAGTATTATGTTTCAATCACATCTATGCTTTCTTGCTAGAATTTATGGCTGAGGATTGTTTCGCTCTGTGAAAGCATTTTGTTTCCTTGGGCAACAGGGGTTTGATTTTATTACTACCCTGCCTCAGCCATACTGTTGAATGGGAAGAGAGTAGGCCTCTGTGAAGTGGCAAGTATTTGATTTGGATTCTGCCAATTCAGAGGGACAGTGATTCAATTCAGAGATTCGAATCACTGTCCCGATTTTGATTTGGAGATTTGGCCACTGAATCAGCCGATTCAGTGATTCAGCCATAGAGTATAATGGGGAATCACTAAAATACCTATAACTTTGACTTTTTTTTGAAGATTTGGATGAAAACAGTAGAGATGGTAGCCCCTCCTGAGGGCATGAAGCCTGCCAGGTTTCAAGGAGATAGGTGCAGGGGCTTCTGTGAAAGTGCACTTCAAACTGTTGACAGCAAAACTCATGTCATGTGTGTGTTAACTGGGTTTCTGGTTGTAACTGTGTTGGTCTATGGAACAGGCTGTCAAGGTTCTTTGAGTTAGATATGATATCTTTTATTAGACCAACTGAATAGTTGTAGAAATATATCTTGGCAAGCTTTCAGGTTTAAAAACTGTTTGTCAGGCTGAGGAAGCATCTGCAGTTGGTGTGTGCTCTTCCTGGATGGAATGGGTAGTAAAGAAGCCAGAGGCTGGTATGCAGGCAAGAAAGCCAGTCAGTGAAAATGTAAATTGAGGCATTAGGTGGTGAGAGAGAGTCTCAGGGGAGGGAAGGGGTGAAGGGGGATTTAGCAGGTAAAATAGAGAGGTACCTGGGGAGTCAGATGTCAGACAGTTTATAGTGTATCATAAATCCAATATCTATATTGAGTCCATGAATTTTTGTATCAAGGAGGTTGATGAAGTGAAGTTTGTAGGTTTGTTTGTGAAAAGTGTTTTTAAAATTCAAACAAGCACCGAACTTCACTGACCTCATCACCAGAAGCAAACTTCCTACAACCCAAGATGCACTGAATGGATCCAGACCGTGCCATGATAAAAAATGCAAAATCTGCCAACATATTTCTAGTACCCCCACAATTACTACACCCCACAACAGAACCATCACCACTCCTGGATCTCACAGCTGCACCTCCAGAAACATTATATATCTCATCCAGTGCACCAAGTGCCCTGATGGAAAATGCGTAGGAGAGACCAAACAACAAATGCACACTGGAATGAATGCACACTGGACATCTATTAAAGATAAGAACCACTCACAAGAAAACCACACTCTCTCCAATCTCTCAGTCCTGATCCTCAAAGGGAATTTACAAAACACTTTTCAAAGACAAGCCTATGAACTTCACTTCATCAAGCTCTTTGATACAAAAACTCATGGACTCAATATAGACATTGGATATATGACATACTGTAACCTGCCTGACATCTGACTCTCTAGGTACCTCTTCACTTTTACCTGCTACATCCTCCTTCCCCCCTCTCTCCCAGCATGTCTCTCACCCTCGGATGCCTAAATTTACATTTTCACTGACTGACTTTCTTGCCTGCATACCAAGCCTCTGGCTTCTTTACTATTCATTCCATCCAGGAAGAGCACACACACCAACTGCAGATGCTTCCTCAGCCTGGTGAGGGGTTTTAAAATCAGAAAGCTTGCCAAGATATATTTCTCCAACTAATATAAAAAATATTAGATTGACCCAAAGAACCTTGTTTGCTTTGTGTGGGTTAAGGCAGAGTGGGATGAATGTAACAGGGATGGTAGCCTGTAACAGGGGGCCTTCCTGGTGCCAGTTACATCTTGGTTCACCCACCTGTTTCTGGGCCAACCACCCACCCATTTTTTTCCTGCCACGCCTTGATCTAAACTGATTCAGATTATTCTCAGGTGGGAGGCTGCGCATTTATGCCCCTGACATCTAGAGGTGACATCTGTTCTGCAGCTCTGTACCTTCCATACACTGATGCCTGTGGCTTGCACATTGCATCCCTCACCCCCTCCAGCTGTGGTCCCCTCTCTGGGAACTTTGGCTCCCCCTTAGACCCTGGCCTCACCTTCAGGCCACTCAGAATCCTGAGCCTCTTGCTCTGTGCATTCCTTGCAATAGGCCCCTGGCCCCTTGACCCACCCCCCTTTGGGTTCTGGCCTCAGCACGGACCAGTTAAGGGTACCTCAGGTCAGATCTGATCCATCTGCCTGTTCTCATCCTCACAACTCCTCTGTAACCAGTAAGCCTCAGGCCTCTCAAAGATCTTAAGGTCTGGGCTTTTCCCAGCCTGGATTGTGTATGCATGTGTGTGGTGGCTGGAGGTTACCAGGTGCCTCCTACCCACTTTTCACCAGGGAGGTTCATGGTCCTGGCATTTTCTGGGGCTGCTGCACCACTGGCAGTCCCACCAGGCCTCCAGACCCTGGCAGGGTGCAGTTTTAGGTTATGCCTGGGACCTGGGGCCTCTTCCTTCCCCACGGCCCCAGCTCTTATGTCCAAGAACATCCTGGCATGGGAGCTCAGCAGGGAGATGTTCTTCCCCTTCTTGCTGGTAAAAAACTAAACTGCTGCCTCCAGCTCTGAGAGTGAGCATTAAATGGTAGTGAAAGCAACTAAAGAAAGGAAATAGGTGCACAGTGAGCAGGGTGGCACTTTGTCTGCATGTGGAGCTTGGGGAACCCCAGCAGTGAGTGGCTCACCTTCAGGAACACCAGGTGATCCACCAAACGAGAATCCAAGGAAGTGCAGTTGGCTGTCAAAACATCACCAGCAATGCTGAACACCCTCTCTCTTAGAACACTGGTTGGTGGACAGGACAGGTGTTCCTGGGCAACCATGGGCAGATCCTACCACATCTACCTGTGGGTTGCCCAGTAGGCCAAGGGGTCGCATAGCAGTGGCTCCACATCCTTGGTGAGATAGGTAGCCACTGAGGCCTCTGAGCTTCCTACCAGATGGTGGGGTCTGGTGCCCTTGGCCCGCATTGGCTGTGGTGGAGGACATTGGCTGGTGCTTGGACTGCTAGTATGGGACAGTGTATCCCCTCTTCCACACCCTCCCACCTCTGCCCTTCTGCCTCCCTGACTGTTCACCAGTACCTCTGTCCAGTGATAGAGGGTTTTGCTGCTGCAGATGCTCCCCTTCACCCTTGGTTTGCACATGCCTGCTGGCATGTGGACTGTACTGGACCGCAATGAATTCAGCCATTTTTTGATGCCCTCCTTCAGCATCTTCACCAGCGCCTGCACCTCTGGTGAAAGCAGCTTGCCTCAGTCAGGAACGTTGATCCCCTGGAAGGTTCTCCATTTGATTCTCAAGATCCTTCACTATGGGGATCACTTGGTTAGGTAGGGCATTGCCAGCACTGAGGCTCTCAGTGGCCTCGAGGAATGGCTTGAAGACCATCAAGATCTGGGAGATGGTATCTCACTCTGTTTTATTAAGGGGGCCACTGATTCCAATCTCCCCAAGCAAGGTCATCTCATGGATGGTCTTCTGTTGCTCCACAAGACTTTCCTGCATAAGGTATGTGGAGTTCCACTGAGTCTCCCCATCCTGCATGATTTTGTGATGCGGGATGCTCAGCTCTGCCTGTTTCTCCCGCCGCATCTTGCCCTGTTTGTTGCTTCAGTGGAAGTAGCCCACCACCTTCCTGCATTTTGAAATGAGCTGGCTGGTCATGGCATCCCTGACTATGAGGTGGAACTTGTGTGCCACAGAGCGAATGCTAACAAAGTTGGCATCATGCACTGCCTTGACCATATTCGCCCCTTTGTCAGTGACCACGTACCTGTGGGTGAGC